TTTTTTTTTTTTTTTTTTTTTTTTTTTTTTTTTGAAGATTTATATTTTGCATAAATGAAAACGCGCGTTGTGCGAAGCAAGTTGCGAACAAAGAGCAGCGGATTGGACGCAAACCGGTTTAAACAAATTTTTATGTTAATTATACCATTATCATACATCGCGTTTAAGCTATTATGTTAATTATACCCTATTATATTTCGCCGTTATCAAATATAATATCTTTAACGGTCCTTTCATATATCTATTCCCTCTCTCTTTAATTCACGCTCGTTTTTACCTGTATTTAAAAATTATTAATCCCTGACTGTGAAAGAATTAAAATATTATTAGTCCAAATCTTCCAATTATTTCAAACGGAGTTTTGTTGTTTCGTCGAAACAACCATATACTACGTGTATCAAGCAAAGTCGATACAAATATTAATATACGTTCGTCATCGATTCCTCTTTATTAGCCACACGTTCTCCGTCATTCTATTATGAAGACATCCCAGGGGCCCGATTTAATTGCGTTCGCGAGCGCGAGCATCGCGTTAAACCGCCGCCTCGCGATAATCCGGCGACGTCGATCGACTGGGGAATCGAAATAATATCGCCTAAGATAACACCAGTACAGGCGCGTAAAGTACCGAGAAAAGGGTATATCCAGCTTCTCCCGTATTTGTGAATTAAGGGCGGGCACCGAGTGTAGGGAGGGAGAGTAAGGTTTTAAAGAGGCGCGCAACGGAAAGGAAAAGAGAACGGAAGAAAAACGAGGAGAGAAAAGAGAAAGAGAGAGAGAGAGAGAGTGAAAAAGCGAGAGAAATGCTCTTGGCGTCTCGTAAACTCAATTTAGCAAGCTGGACCTCCTCGAAGCACGTGGAGACCCACGGGTCCGGTCGAGCTTCCCCCTTCGTTTACCTCTCTTTCTACCTTTTCCTCTCTCCTCTTCTTTGTCTATCCTCCTCCAGGTATCCAGCAATCATTAAGCGCTTGTTTTACAAGTCGTTTAGACGCGAGACCAGTGATATCGCACTGTCCAAGGCAAGTGCTGCGACACTTGTCTCTACGGGGTGTTTTGAGAACCGGTCTTCGTAGTACGAGAGAGAAACTACCGAAGTGATAAGAGAACACGGAAGACATCTCGAGCATTGCAACTTTGTAGAAAGTAAAAATATATCACCGTAAAGAGTTTCCGGAATATTTTACACAATTACGTAAAATTGAGATAAAGTAAATATACATATATTCAGATATTATATAATATCTAAATATAAATATATGTATAAATATGTTACAAAATAATTTTAAATATATTATATCTATATCTAATTTTTTTAGATGTTACAAGCTATTTAAATATACAAAAGCAAAAATTTAAATCAATATATTGTAAATCTGAATTGTTTCGATGAATTCAAATATGCTAGATACAAAAAATATTATCTTTATCAATGATACCAGAAGAATCGCGGTTATTAATGAAAAATTTATATTTTTTTTTGTCTATTGCAAACTATATGAAAATTAAAATTATTGATATCAATTTTCATATAAAGATGTAAGATCTTAATTAAGTCACGACTTTTGTATCGTCATATGTGTATAATAAGAAAAAGATATGTTTTCTATCTTCACCGAGAGATGATTAGAACTGTGTTTATCGCGTTGATCTTTTTTATACCATCAGTTACAAGATGCTATCTATATGATTGTACTTATGTACTGGTTTCCGATTCCTGCACACGCGAGAGATAAAGTGTCTAATTAGTCGGGACGTCGCCCTTTGTATTCTAGCATTAAGACAAGATTCCCCGGATACACCGAAACGACGTAGGACCGAGTCTATCGCATTGATCTTTTTTCGTACCACCCGTTACATGGTGGAACCTATAACCGGATGGAGGTGTCCCCAGGTATGCCTTATCTGTCCGTGGATCGCGCAGTAAATTTATCCGCGTTGCGTCGCACCGGCCACGAAAAAGAACGGAATCTTTCGGGGTTATTATTATTTTCATTAGGATTTGTGACTCATCGCGTGCAAAAGGCATTTATTTCGAAGCCGTGACACCTACTCCGCGTCTCCGGATCGACGCTCCTCTCTGTTCTTTTTCTTCTCTTCGGCGCGACCATGTAGGATCGAAAGGATACAGGCCTTTTAAATGTTGGAAGCTTCGACTCGATATGACTCCAAAGGGAATAATTAATAATTATCTCCATGCAATTTATCATTCAGATATCTTCGCACGAGTCTCTTCAATCGCCTCGCCTCCGTTATTTTCTTCAATTCTTTACATAACGATACGCATCAATCTGCTAAATTTAATTGGACATCTTGTTATCGTGAAAAATAATCGATTGCGCGAAAATACGCACGAAATATCATAAAGAATCAGCATTAATCAATTTCAACGGTCTTTAATTAAAAACGTTGCAAAAATTATAATACATTTTAATGGAATGTATCTTTAATTAAATGGGAATAAATTTTATAATTAAAATATTTACATTAAAATTAGTTAAGTAAAATAAGAGAGAGATATTTTATGTGTGTAATTAGCGTACATTATTTAATTGCGCTATATATAAAAATAATAAATTTTTTATTTTAGACATTCCGTTTATGTTTCTGTCGCGCGCGCGCGCGCGCGCGTCCGTGTTCAGATCAACGTCAAGGATTATAAAAAATGTCGGGAATGCGACGAGATTCTATCTGCGGACGGTTCTACGTGAGTTGCCGTTGTCTCACGAGTGGACAAATCGATCTTGGCGACCGCCGCGGAATTTCGAAGTAAATCTTATTTACGAACCGGCCGATTAATGAAACCATAGCCGTGCCTTCGCCGATCATTATCTCCTTCGTATCACAAAGTTGAGATCAACGACTTTGGCTATTAAGTCATTGAAGAAAGTAAATCATACGAGTAACTTTTTTTATAGCAAATTTAAATTATCTATATAAAATATTATTAATTACTCTTTTATTAATTAATTGTTTTGTTTATTAATTTTATTAATAAATTTATTAATTGTCCTATATTTGGTGTATATATAATATTAAGTACGTTTAAATAAAACATAGACTGAGACTTTTATGGAACAACGACTTTAATCCACGTTTCGATTGAAGATACCTAATTCAATTTAATTTATTTCATGCATAATTTATATATATATATATTAATCTATAATCAGATTAAAATCCATGCGTAATTATTTTATGCATTTTTTGTCTCATATTTTCTTTTAATTTTGATAAAATTGTCTTATAAATCTGCGTTATCAAACCTCAGGAACGAGCGAGGTTGATGTAGCATCGATCTAACAAATTACATTGCATATTGTACGAGCAGCTTTATAGAAGGTGTCTTTAATTGAGTGGCGCAAATCACGTATAAATAATTGAGGAAACGCGATGCCACAGCTGCTCATTCACGACGATCGATTTCGGGGTGAGAAAAGCGTCTTGTCTACGTGTAATATATATATACATGTAATATACATATTGTATTGTGTATATATGCATATAGACTGTCGGGTATTAGCATAATTTCTAATTTAATTTGTCGATAAATTCCTGATCGCACGCTCGCCTCGAAATGAGATGCTATCGCGGCACCACTAATTCGCGTGTCTAAGTTTATACCGCCTGGGACCGGTACGAGAGACCTGATAGCATCTTCCCCTTCTTCTCTCTCTCTCTCTCTTTCTATGTCGTGGTTTCCTCATAAAATCGGATTATATCGGCTCTGTCGCCCCTTTGTTGTCGCATACTTTATTCCGGTCTACGTGCGATATCCTCTCGTGGAAACAAGTTTGGGTCAGAGTGCGATTGCAGACTCATAACGAATTCTTTTTCTTTCTCTCTCTCTCTCTCTTTCTCCTCTTTTCTCTGAACTTTTCCGTATCATTAATAGTATCCAAGCGAATAGAAATTTCAATTCTTCAAGAGCCGAATGTGATATATCGGAGAAACTGGCAATATGAGAAAAAGTTTACTGGATCAGCAACTTCTAAATCTACAAGTCAGTTTAATTTAAGCGTGTTCTACTATGTAACTTTCAAATTTATTTTTCGCATTCCAAATATCCCACGCAACCGTCGCGCTTCGCTCTCGAAGAGACCGCCAGTTTTGCCTCCGGGATTACTTAACTCGCTGAAGAAGGCAGAAAGGCAAACTCCGGGGTCGGTGGAGAGCAAATTGAAAATCGGCTGACTCGTTTGTCGGCCTCGAAATCTTAAGGAAAGAAACGGCGGATTTTCCTGTGGAAACTCCGGAGGCTCAGGGATCCCGCGCGTCCACTCCTCTCGGCAGGTGAGCACGAGGAAGTTACTGGCAGCTGATTCCATAAGCAGATAGAGAAGGAAAGTTTCCCGGGCCTAAAATAATGGGAGGCAGCGTACCGTGTACACACTGTACGAGCCTCTGTTTGTAAACTATGGCTCTCGCCTTCTCTCTACCTGCAGGCTCTCGGGTCCTGTCCGTGAAAACGTCCAGGCGAATTTCTCGCGCGAACACGGGATCATCCGCACGAAATTCACCAGCGCAAGAAAATCCGCCAGGGATTATAACTGATGTAATTTCGACAGGTTCGGTTTTTCCGGTATTGTAAATGATAAGTGTACCTCAAACTGTAATGATCGACGTGTTTCTCCGTGAAAACGTCCGGGCGAATTTCTCGCGCGAACACGGGATCATCCGCACGAAATTCACCAGCGCAAGAAAATCCGCCAGGGATTATAACTGATGTAATTTCGACAGGTTCGGTTTCCCGATATTGTAAATGATAAGTGTACCTCAAACTGTAATGATCGACGTGTTTCTATTATGATGTGT